TTGAATAATCATTTTCATATTGAACCATACATTTTTACATGCATTTACACATATAGATATAGAATTTAGGATAAAACTTTCAAAGCCTCATATTTGCAAGCATATACGTACATTCTATTTCACATAGTATTTCTAAATTTTAACCATTTATACTAACAATATGCTAGTTAAAAATAATAGCTGAGGTAATTTTTGCCATACCACATAAATATCCAGACATACAAATAGTAAGTTTAGATAATCGTGGTCAATTACCAACTTCACCCATGTCTACCAGTGTAACAAAGTTTGATTAATATTTCATCTACAAGATTAAACATTTAATTATCAATTCTCACTTTAATTAACTCCTTTTTAGCTTAATTTTGGGTATCCATTATACTCAAGAATCCCATTTCACACTATCAACACTTCCAATACATTTCACTAATTCCATTTAGTATCCAAACACTTAGATAAGCACAATTTTCCTCCTACATTACTCCCAAACTCTCAAATTTCATTTAGGGTTTGTCTAAACCCTAATCAAAATCTCAAATCATTATAAGTCCTTCAAATCTAAGTTTTAAAGCTTGTTTAATTTCCTAAGATCTTAACTACGCCAATGGGTTCAGTTAAAACCTAAGGAAAATCAAAATTAAGTCCTATAATATCTAAATCTACAAAATTTTTGCATAGAAGAAAAATAAAAGGGAAGAACACTTATCTCAATGTATTGCTAGCTTGGATTGCTTCCCAAGAGCTCAAAAAATGAAGCCCTAGTGTCCTAAATCTCTCCCTTGTCACGTCTCTCTGTCTTCTATTTCTTCCCTTCTGTCTCACATGCACACAACAATCTAATTAAATTAGATTTTCATGCATTCGTCATGGCACATGGTGCGTCTGTCGTGACAGATGGCACAGAAATACTCAAACATGTTTTAGCGGGTTAAACGAGCTAGCTTATAGGCTCAACTTATTTTCCTGATCCTACGTAATATGATAACTAAGGTTCAAATCCCTATTACGAGAGTATCTATATTTAATGTCTGATCATATTTTAAATATGATTGCCTCTAATAGGAAAATATATATGAGTAATAAAAAAAGAAATTATGATTACAAACTGAGAATTATATATAGCATTTAAATATTTTATTTATAATTAATATTTTTGAATTTAAAGTTACTTAAAATGATATTTTCAATTTATTTTTTAAAATTTTTTGTCAAAGGCCCGAACATCAATAATGACCTCTTTTTAGGATTTGACTATCACTCTCTCATTTAAAATACATCAATGAATTGAACATTAATTATAAGGGACCCGCTTGTTTAAAATTTAAAAATAAATAATTTTTAAATAATTTAGATATTTTATAAAAATAGATTTATTTTGTAAATATTTTATAAAAAACTGTCATTATTTTATATTTAATTAAAATAATAAAAAATTTATTATTAGTCAATTATGTTCAAATTTTATGATATCTTTTTTAATTTTGTTTTATAAAAATAATTTATTATTATATTATTTTAAAATTTTATAATATCTTCATGTATTGTGCCTTTTTAAAATACTCTTTTTCATCAACAGCATTTAGCTTCTTAAAATAATTAAAAATATACTTTTTTTAAAATTTTATTTTTTTAAATTTTAAATAAATATAATAAAAACTCACAAAATAAATTTTAAAAAATAAGTAATATTTTTTATTAAATAAGATAAAATAAACGGGCCTAAAATTAGGCAAAATAATTCCTTAGATTTATTATTATTTAGACGCCACTTGCCCAAACCTTTGATAAAAATAAATAAATAAATAATAAGTGCCTTTCTTAAAAAATAGAAAGTCATATATAAATTTATAAAGTGCTAACAAAAATCATATTTAAATATTAAAAATATTAAAATATTAAATTAAGTGGTGTAATATTTTAAATAGTAATATTTAAATTATTAAATATTAAAATACTTAATATTTTAATAATATTTATTAAATTTTATTTTAATAAGATTTTAGGGTGTTCAACGCTTTTAAAAAAATACTTTAAAATACTTAACACTCCTAAAAAAAAAATTTAAAGGCAAATGATCATCAAATGATATGATCAAAGTCATACATGTCACTGTGTATTGGTCCACGTAGATGCCATGTTAGCAAAGAATAGAAAAATTAACGGTTGATTAATAGAAAGGGTTTTTTGCTCATTTGAAAAATAATTCTGAGATAAAAATACCTTATTTAAGAGTATAAAATGCTTAATACTTCTAAAAAATAAGTACAGGAGTAAAATTGAGCTTTAATCTTTTTTTAAGTGCACTCAATATTTTGAGTTTGCCTTATATCTAGCTAATAGAACTTTAGTAAACCATAAATTAATCTAAATCAAATCAAGTTAGGACTTTGGAGTGAAAGATTTACTATCAACGATGTTGCATTCCAAGAGTTCGATCTCAGGAGCACTAGATAAGTTAGTATAACTGAGTAGTAGAGAAAACACCTTTATAATTTGGGCAATGCCCCTATGGAAAATATAAAATCTATAGCATTAAGAGTAAAAGTATATAAAGATATATATTTTCTAATTTTATTTATTTTCTTTTAAAAGCTTTTTACAATTTTACTCATTAAAGTTTAGAGATCTAAATATGCATTTGTTTAAGTTTGGGAAAAAAATGGTTGCTAAATTATTTATAGATTTTAGATTAAATTCTACAATATAATTTTATTCTTTTAATTTTATAAAAAGTTTTAATTTAATCTTATAATTTTATCAAGTATCTTTTTAATTTTTTAATCTTAATATTGTTAATTTTGTCACAATTTTTTTATATTAAACTTTTAAAGAATGATAAAACATTCACAACTATTAACCTATTAAATTTATTTTTTTAAAAATAATTATAATTGACACAAAAAATAATCATTTAAAAATGACTATATTAAAGTTAGATGGTTGAAAATATATTTTATAAAATTAAAGAACAAAATTGAAATTTTATATGAAGTTAGAAGACCAAAATATACTTTAGTCTAAAATTTATAAAAAATAATTTATCATTTAGAGATATTATTAAAGGTATAAAATATTTGAAGTGTGGTTATAATTAATTATAATGTTGAAACAAATGGGTTCTAAATCTTAAAAATAAAAAAGATGATCAAAGATATTATTAGCTATGGATGTCTTGCTCGTTGCTCGTTTCTTGTTTCGTCTGTTTGCTAAAACAACGTGCCATGTCTAATTCTGGCATTGAAAGTAGGATGCCTTTCCTTGCTTGCTTTCTTGATAGTAAACATTTAAAAATGAATCCATAAAAAAAAAGGAAAAAAAAGAAAAGCATTTCTAAAAATAGAAACAATGAATTCCTTCAAGTCTAATCTAAATATTAAAAAAACATCAAGTAAGAATGAATTTAACGCAAAAAGGTGTTACTTCTTTTATATTCAATACAATATTTTTTTAACTTTATTTTATGATACTTTTTATCAGATTTAATCTGGTCCTGTGATAATTTTTTAAAAATTTTCTTGAACATTTTTTCTGACATATTTTTAGAAGATTTAGGTATTAAATATCAGGGTGATCAAAACCAAATAAAACCCAATTTACCAAACCGATTCAAACTAATCTAGTAAAAACAGAATAAAACTGAAAAAGTTTAGTTTGGTTCTAGAAATTCAAAAACCGAATGGCTTAGTCTTGTTTCAATTTTTTTTCTTTGAAATTTTAATCAAATTTGAACTATACTTTTGTTAAAAATATAAGACATTTTTAATTAATCTCACCCCTTAATAAAGTAATTATCTATTTTCAAACTCACTTTATCTTTCCATATTTACTTCTATTAAATACTTTACAATAAATATAAAGTAATTTATCAATAAAAGTATTTTTAAAAAAAATGTAATAATTATACATCGAAAGACTAAAAATAATTTATATTTTTTAATATCCAACTCATAAAAAATGCCTTGTATTTTTTAATGGAGGGAGTACTTTTTATATTTTTAAATGTATTCTTTTGATTAATGTTAGACTATTATCGTTTTTTTTAATTTTAACTTTAATTAAAGTTCATTTCAAATCCAAAATATTTTAATAAAATTCCTAACATTTCCCTTCTCAATTTTGTTACTAGAGACGGTGCAGCGTATTGTCTTTATTGTAGACCATAGTGTTTACGTTCATTTATGAACAATAAAATTTGGAATGTGACTTGAAATTAAAATATTAAAGAAAAAAGGAGGATAAAAAATTATGCTTGGTCTTAATATATTATTTATATGTTAAAAAAAATTAAAACTTGACCCATATATAAATTAAACTATCTAAAAATCAAACCAAACTGATCATAATCAAAATCCATTAAGTATAATTTTTTGTGCTAATTGATTGGTTTATGTTGTTTATATTTTGGTCAAAACTAAACCAAACGACGCCTTTACACCTTTGATCACCTTAGGAAAAAAAAAAATGAGTCACAATTTTTTTAAACTTTACCTGAAATTATAAAAACTTTTTAAGTAATCGTTTTTTGACTTTGTGCATTACACCGAATAAATGAAGAAGTATCTCAACTTAGGGTAGCATTTTATTGAATCTAAAAAAAAAATGCAATATTTATTTTGTATAATTCTAATTTATTCTAAATATCAGACCATTTTTCTACGCAAAAATTTAGCTTTAAACATCAAATTAAGCAGAATACTTTAATCCATGCAGTAGACAGGAAGGCACGAGGAAAAAAATAAAGTGATGATGCGAACTGGACATTCCCAGATTCAATGAGCAAAAATTAAACTAAAATAAAAAAAAATTCAAAAGGGCATTTCCCTTCCATATGACAGAGAAAATCATAAATGATCACAGTAATGAAATATTATTATTAAATTTCCAACAATAAAGCATCATTATTTTTTTCCAGCAACCCAGTAAATTTGCTTTGGAATGGAAACAAACAAAAAGTAAAAAAAAAAAAAAAGAAGAAGAAGAAAGAAAGCAACGCCCACATTGGCACACTTACACAGTACTGAAACCTCCAAACTTCAAAGGCCAGCTCAAGCACATTATTATAGCCCCTTCGCTTTCTTCTTACTTCTTTCACTTTAAAGCCTATTAACTCAAATCCGGCGCCACTGTTCTCCGCCGATTCAATCCACGCCGATTCATATGGCAGTTTAGATATATATACAAGTATTTTGTAGCTGTAGAACAGATAGTGATATAGTACAGTTATAGCTCCGGTGAAGTGAAATGGGTTGCACGGCGTCGAAGCTGAACAACGAGGACACTGTGCGGCGGTGCAAGGAGCGGCGCCGCCTTATGAAAGAGGCTGTCTATGCGCGGCACCACCTCGCTGCCGCGCACTCCGACTATTGTCGGTCGCTCCGCCTTACGGGTTCCGCACTTTGCACGTTCGCCGCCGGCGAACCTCTCGCAGTCTCTGGAAATACCCCCACCGTTTTCCTCAACCCATCGCCTCCGCCGTATGCAGCGGCGAGTTCGGCTTCTGACTATCATCCACCGCCTCGTGTTGCCCCCTCTCCCTCTCCTTCACTCCACCCTCCTCCGCCGCCTCCATTTTCGCCGCCTTCTCCTACGATAGCTAGTTCCAAACTACCTCATATACTCTCTTCCTCCAGTGTCGGTTCCTCCAATCATCGCCGCAGGAAGCCGCCGCCGAAACTTCCGCACATTCTTTCTGAATCGAGTCCGTCTTCCTCACCACGAAGCCAAGCATCAAATTTCCCTTCTGAATTCTTCCCCACGGCGTACCAAGCAAATTCTACCTATTCGAGTACTCCATCTCAAACCTCTTCTGTTTGGAACTGGGAGAATTTCTATCCTCCTTCTCCTCCTAGTTCGGAGTACTTCCGGAACCGAGCTCAACAGTCTCAACAATCAATGAATCAGAAAATTGAAAATAAAGCTTCTCACCACTTGGACGCCGAGGATTTCGATGCTGAAGATACTGAGAGATCAGAGTATGACTTTTTCAATCCAAAGCACGAGTCTCTTCAAAAGCAGAAGCTTCATCAAAATCATCAGCTTGAGGATCAGGAGTACACTGAGACAGAGCGGGAGGAGGTTCAATGTAGCGAGTGGGGGGACCACTACAGCACGACGAGCTCTTCCGATGAGGAGGAGGAGGGGGATGCGGAATCGAGGTCCGAGATCGAGACGCGTTCAAATTTCGGGTCAGTGCGGGCGGAATCCATCGCTGGAGCGTCGACCGTCCCGGCGTCGGCTGCTCCGAAGATGCCCAGGACATCAAGCAAGATCGAGAAGTCTGATGATGCAGGGTCGTCGGCTAGTTACCGGACCGGGGACGTGATGGACATGAAAATGGTGGTAAGGCATAAGGACTTGAAGGAGATCGTGGAAGCCATCAGAGAGAACTTCGAGAAGGCAGCGATGGCAGGAGATCAGATATCGGAGTTGCTCGAGATCAGCAGAGCGCAGCTTGATCGGAGTTTCAGGCAATTGAGGAGTAAGTTAATTATTCCTTCCAATGTTGCTCGAAATTTCTAAATCTGGGTTGTCAAGTATAATTCCTTCACTTTGAATTCAAGTATTTCTTTAAACAATTTCTGCCTCAATTTTCTGGGATGTGTTTGGTTGCTTGGTAAATGTGGGATAATTGAAGTTTTAAACCAAGGCATCAATTTTTAAAACACTGGCATCAATGGATTGATATTACGCTGTTGTTGGTCATTCCAATTTTAACGAATGAGGGTTCTGATTTACAGAAACTGTGTATCATTCAAGCAGTATCTTCAGCAATCTCAGCTCGAGCTGGACCTCAAAACCGCCATTGGCAGTTAAATATCAGCTGGATACTGGTTCGCTAGAAGAACCAGGCGGTCCGAAGAGCCTGTGCTCCACATTGGAGAGGCTTTTGGCATGGGAGAAGAAGCTGTATGAGGAAGTGAAGGTAGATTTAACTTTTAGCTTAATTTCTGGGATATTATTGGTGTTTTCAATTTTTTATTGGGAAGTAGATTTTTTCTATTTTAATGAAAATCACTAAAGGGTAAAGGAAATGACTAGGATCTGCACCAAGGTTGGACTTGGTGGTAGTAGCGTAAGGCCATCGTTGAGTTTGACTGTTTAGTGTGGAAAAGACCCCGCTTCATCGGTGCGATTTGACGACAATAGCCTTTGGACGGCTCTCCTACTTTAATGAGTCTCTTTCGGTCCCACTGCCATTGTTTACTGTGTAGGCAAAATGACTTCAATACCCCTTGCTTTCTTACTTTTTTTAATGATACCCTCCTCGTGAAGAAACTCTGTTTTAAATTTTAATATGTTATAATATAATCATGTATGTTTTATCTTTAAAGCATGAGATGGTTTTTATAATTGTTTTTCCAGCCTTTTCCTTATTTCATTTATTACTCTTTTTTTTTAAATAGTGCATTAGAATTTCAATTTTTATTATTAAGACACTTGTATGAACTATTTTATAAGGGTATAATTGAAAAGGTATATTTTTTATTTTATTAGAGATGTAAAATTTTTTTAGAAGTTTTTGAATTTACCTTTGTTTTTTTTATGAGAAACGTGAAATAGTTACCAGTGTCTTATTTTATGGTTCAAAGGGAGTATTGTTATTTGAAGTATGAATCTTACCCTCTGGGAAATTTTTTTATCATCTGTATGTTCATGTAGATAATAATTACTTTAGAAGACTTATGTTATAATGTTAAATTAAGATTGTTCCATTCGATATTAGAGAAATATATCATGGACTTACAAAGTATTTTTCCTATATCTATGATAGACATGTTTAATCTTTTTTCCATTATATTTTATATTGATTGATATTGATACTTATAATGTTCTATGTATGTGATTGATTGATTGAATATGAATAATGGGTATAGATTTTTCTGAAACGTGTGGATTTATTTACCTGAAAAAGGGCTGGTTTCTTTGGATATGCACCCATAATGATAAAGTAATGCCTGGAATTGAAATTCCCGCGAGCAGCTTGGCCTGTCCTTTTACCAAACTATACATTGGTGGTTATGTCCTGTAGCATTTTTTTTTTTTTTGAGCTAAAACCATGTGTTTTAAAGATGACGCACGCTGATGAATACAACAAAATTCTTAAATTTATCCATCTAGGCGAGGGAAGGTGTGAAGATTGGACATGACAAGAAACTGTCAGCTCTGCAGAGTCAGGAATACAAAGGGGAGGATGAAGCAAAGATCAGCAAAACCAAGGCTTCTATAAAGAGGTTGCAATCACTCATTATTGTCACTTCTCAGGCCGTGTCTACTACCTCAACTGCCATAATTCGCCTCAGAGACTCTGATCTTGTTCCTCAGCTTGTTCGATTCTGTCATGGGTAAGTCTTTTAAATTCTTGCTCGAACTATGAGAGGAAAGCTAAAGAGTCATGTTGTTGACAATTAGTCATTAAGGATAATTTGTTCAAAGTTTGATTTGACATGGCAATTCATGAATAAGGGCTTGATGAGTGAAAATTTATGCTGCTGCATATGAATGAACTATGTTGACTTCATTCGGTCCTAAATTTTCGAGTAGATCCTTATTTGTACTTGTTGGGTCAATAGATGAATAAAATGAGACTGGGGATTTCATAATCGAAGACATTGTTAATAATTCTGTGTTGCTTGTTACGTTGTGATAATGTAACAACAGTTCATGCATCTGGGGTAATGCATATTTGCACGAAAGAAAGGCCGTATAAGTGGTGGTATGCGAGTGAACCATCAAAATATCTGCTTGTGTGCACTTTTTTTTTTTTTTGGTTTTCGGTACTTTTTTTTGGGGGGGGGGGTTATAGAGCATTCAGAATGAGGAACTGTTCTGCAATTTGTTGAAAGGAGAAAGTAATTTGCCGTGTGAATGGTGCTAGTGTGTGGATCATAGAAATAGTTGGACATGGTGGTTGAAAGCATTATGGCTCTCTGGTCTGCTAAGCAACTTGCTTCATCATCTCTGTATAAGTGCATGTGCGGCAATGTACTGGGCTGTCTAAGTACTGTCTAGCTTTTAAATTCAGTCCTTGGCCCACCATGTCAACTGTCAAAATGTAATGTTGTGTTTAAATTTTAGGCCCCATTATTATTATTATTTTTTTTTTTTATTTTCAAATATCAACTTATTGATAGTGTTAGCTGTGTTATAGTAACTATGGCGTGACCCTTTTTTGTTTTCTTTGAAATTAGAACTATTTATGGAGTATTTTTTTCTTATCAATGTCATTTTAATTACTCACCTATTTTAATTAATTGTTCCAAATCATTATATAGGGTCAGCCTTGCTGATATGAAAAACCAGAGGATTTCATGTAGAATATGATAACGTGATAATGGGTAAAAACATCTTAATTGCAGCGATCATTTAGTTGAGATTTAGCTTCCAAATTAAAACTTGATGACGATTTTGATGTGATCATAAGCTGGTGACACTCCAAATTCCTTTGACTTAATTATATCCATTTACTTTTTCTTTTTGGCAAAGGATGCATGTTAATAAATTCTGTTTAATACTATTGATTAATTATGTATTAACTTTTATGTGATCTTTGACTGAACTGACAGTTTTGCTATTGCCTGTTATTATTAACCCAAAGGTGGGTGGCAACTTTGCTCATCATATGAAGTTTCAAGTTTATTTTTGAACTTTCAATGGTTTATAGTGCATATAAAAGATAGGTTCATGGCACGAGATTAAAGCTTAACAGTGACAATTTTTGAGGATTGATTTATCTATTCATTGCTGTAGTTGCACCAGAGTCTAGTGAAGCAGGCCGCCTTGTTTGCTTGCTTGTGAAACAACTGAGCAGTAATTTCCTTGATAATTTGTCTCCAAAATGCATCTACTTACTGAATTTGTACTTTGTACTGATGTTTGTTATATGCAAAATGTAGACTGATGTACATGTGGAGATCAATGCATCAGTACCATGAAATTCAAAGCAACATTGTGCAACAAGTCCGCGGTCTTGTGAACCAATCTGTCCGAGGTGACTCAACTTCTGAACTGCACCGCCAGGCAACTCGCGATCTTGAGTCGGCTGTTTCAGCCTGGCATTCCAGTTTTTGTCGTCTTATAAAATTCCAGAGGGGCTTCATCCTGTCCTTGCATGGGTGGTTCAAGCTCAGCCTAATTCCGGTCAGCGATGACAACATCAATAGCAGCAAGGAACCCTCTGATGCATTCGCCTTCTGCGATCAATGGAAGCATGCGCTTGAACGTGTACCAGACACAGTTGCATCCGAAGCTATCAAGAGCTTTATCAACGTTGTTCATGTGATCTCTGTCAAGCAAACTGAAGAACTCAAGATCAAAAAGCGCACCGAGACTGCATCAAAAGAACTAGACAAGAAGGCTTCATCGCTGCGAAACTTAGAGAGGAAGTATTACAGTTCGTATTCTGTGGTAGGTATAGCTGCTGCTGTACCAGATAGTGGGCAAGGCTTGGATGCTCGAGACCCGCTCGCCGAAAAGAAACTGGAGCTCGCATCGTGCCAGAGGCGGGTCGAAGATGAGATGCAGAAGCATTCTAAAGCTGTAGAGGTAACAAGAGCAATGACTCTTAACAATCTGCAAACTGGTTTGCCTGGAGTTTTTCAGGCATTGGCAAGTTTTTCTTCTCTATTCACTGAAGCTCTTCAGACAGTTTGTACAAGTTCATATGCAATCAATGGGTAGTCTTTTTTTTTTTTTAATTTGGGGTTCAATTTGGGATCTTGAGTTCTTCATGGTAGGGGCTTCTTAAAATTATTTTTGGAATGTAAATATGAAGAATTTTGTGATTCCATGTTTTTTGTCCTTAAAACAAAAAAAAAAATATTGAAGGGGATGGGAATGGTACTTTTGTAAAGGAAGTTTTTCGCACTTTGAATTAGGGAATTTTCGAATCTTTCAGTTAGTCAATAAATTACACTCATTGTGTTTTTCTGTTGGATCACCAATTCACCCCTTAAACGCAAAGCAAATGTTAAGAGCCTTATTTTAGTGGGATGATGTTTGTTTGTTGTTGCCTCTCTATTATTTTAACTGTATTTATTGTATTTTACTATAATTTCCCCAATGATTATCACTTGTATTTTACTACAATTTTCATAACGATTGTCAATTTTATACCTAAAAATTGAGTTTTAAATGAATTAATGTAAATGGTGGGGGCAATAATATTGAGGTGACGACAATCCTAAGCAGGAGTAATGAATGTGGTTGAAGCGACAACCGCAAAGTGGAAATAGCAACGATGAGTGATGACGATAAAAATTTAATTACACTAACAGTATTAAAATATTATTCTCCTTGAACTTTATCTGTTCTAATTCTTTATTTTTGAAAATTTTTGTGATGTTGTTCTGTTAAATTCTAAAATTTGTTTTAATTTTTTCATTTTAATTAGGAAAAAGTAAATTAGCTTTAAAATTATAAGTTTAAGAATGTCTGGGATATTAAACTCATTTTTAATGTAATATTTTTTTTAATTTTTAAAAACTATGTAATTTAGCTCCTATTATTAATAAAAATTAACTTTAAATATTAATGAACCAGAAAATGATGGAAATGAATTTAAAAAATTACAAAAAAAAAGAATGATAAAATTTTTGTAATTTTGTTCTCCTTGAACTTTATTTGTTTTAGTTTTTTATCTTTGAAATTTTTCGTTGTGATGTTCTGTTATATTCTAAAATTTGTTTTAATTTTTTCATTTTAATTAACACGTTATAAAATATAAATATTGTTATTATTCCCGCCAGGCATTATAATCTTTCAAATTTTATTAATTTAAGATCCAATTGATAAAAGATCTTATAAAAATGCAAACTTATGAAGTGGGGCCTAGCATGTTCAATTTTGTCAAATAAATGTGTTGAATGAGAGTTTGAGACAGACAGCTAATATGGTCAGACACGCATTGATGAATAAATCCCTTGAATGAAAGTTGGCAAAATTATTCCGTCATGTATATATTTTTATCGCAACAATTTTTAAAATTTAAAAATATTTCAAAGGTTCGGGAGAGAAAGATATCTGAAAAAAAAGTGAGAAAAAAAATTACTTTATGAATAAAGGTATACATTGTATAATAAAACTCATAAAAACAAATATTTTAATCTTGTAAATCATTGTTCAAGAGATAAATTATTTATTGGGAATAGTCAAGCTAACCGGTTAACCTGATGAGGGAAAAGGAAACGTCATTTTCTTTTTTCCTCAATTTCTATTTAAAACCAAAAATATGATTTATTACTATTTAGTGATGGAATTCATAACTTATGCTCCATCTCGTTGTTTTTTAAAAGTTATTTTTAATTAATTTACCAAAATCACACTATGTTAGTTATAATAATAATTTTTTAAAAATAAATTACTTTTCAATTTTTCCCTTCCATTTAAAAGGAATGATTTGATGTGTGAATTTTTTTAAATTAAAATATTGCATTTGTCTTTACAATAAGGTGGACAGTACTTTTGGAATTGTACATCAAAAATTAAAAAAAGAAAAAGAAAAAAAGTGACTTATATAAAAGACAAATAAAAAAAATCTTTTTAAATATGACTTATAAAAAGAACCGCAGGGAGCATAAAATAACGTGCCATTATATCCTACAAGCCCATTCAAATGTTTCTAATGTATACTTGAAGATTTTCCAATGTACTAGCTACTGGGATGAGGAATCTCATTATTATCTCATGTTCTATTCATGAGCTATTTTTCAAAATTCATGAAATATTTTTCCTTAAACAATACCATTGATGGATATTTTTGAGTTATTAGGGAGGAGAGATGGATTGGGAAAGATGTATAACGTTAGGTTAGAATTTATTATATTTAATTAAAGGTATGTTTTTTAAAAAATATGATATTTTTAAAAATATAAACCAATTTTAACTAACTTTTTGATGCATGTGAAATGACCTAAGGAATGAATAGAGTACACTTGCATGAAAATAAATTAGGAAAAAAAATATCACTGAAGACCCTTTAACCATACATATTAAAAAAGAAAATTTCAAAAATACTGATATATCACTGCAAGCGATAATTATTCATAATAATTACAAATCTTAAATACACAAAATTTAAATGGAGATCCAAATCTCTATAGGACTTGAATTAGGGCATATGAAGATTAGCAATACCTCTATCGCCAAAGTTCCTACACAAGAATCATTTGACGAAAGAAGATCCAGGGGTAGCATGCAAAAAATTGGACAAAAGAAAACATACCTATCATCCTAATATGCCTATAATATACTGGCATGTCTTTATTAGCCTTTGTTATATCGGTATGTTGTTTTGATATCGGCAGGGTTTCATATTTAAATGTCTTGTTCGTCGCCTAGTGTGTATGGTTAATTACCTTATGACAATTGTTAATTTCCTTACAGCATTTGTTTATCACAACATTGATTGAAAGAATTCTAAGTAAAACATACCAATAAATAAAACATGCTCATACTAATAGGGTTTCATATTTGAATGACTTGTTCGTCATCCTAGTGTGTGTGATTAATTACCTTATGACAGTTATTAATTTTCTTACTGCACTTGTTTGTTATAATATTGACTTAAAAGAATTCCAAGTGTTTATTTCATATCAGTAAAACATGCTTATACTAGTAGGATTTCATGTTTGAATGACTTGTTCATCACCTTAGTGTGTGTGGTTAGTTACCCTACAATAGTTGTTAATTTCCCTATTGTACTTGTTTGTTATAATATTGACTTGAAAGAATTTCAATTGTTGGATTCATACCACTAGAACATGCTCATATAGGTAGGATTTCATGTTTGAATGACTTGTTTATCTTCTTAGTGTGTGTGGTTAATTACCCTATAACAATTGTTAATTTCCTTACTGAACTTGTTTTTTACAACACTGATTGGTAAAACTTTTCAAGTGTTGGTTTAATGTTTGAATGTTTTTTTCTATGTGGTGTTCATTAGGTAAAGTCCCTACTTAATCCTGACTTTACCATTCATAAATACATAATCATCAAACAACAATCACATAATATCAGAGTAAAAACCCTCGATTTGTTTTCAAAATGCTGGATCCCAACTTCGTAAAATACATGTTCAAATATGAGGGCTAACGGAAGTATAAACACACTTCTATAACTTAATGGAACACAACATTTTTCCCCTTAGAAGGGCCATGTGCCACAACATGTGGTATAGAGTCACAACTTTGTTCTTCTCTGTGCTATGCGCCATGGCATCCCATACAAAGAGCCACAATGCATATGACAGCGAAATCTGCTATCATATGGCAATTCAGAAGGCGAACTTTCATCGCGCACCATTTCCATTGTCGACGTCCAATTGGAGTGATTCAAGCTTCCACACGAAGCTTATAACATATTCTAGTTAATGAGATAAGTTTGGACTAAATTAGATGGTTTGATCGAAAATTAGACACTCTTTCTTTCAAAACTTGCATCTTAAGTGCTCAATTTTCATTCCTTGTCCCATTAAATCATCCTGACCTTGAACCAAGTCTAAAAGGACTATATATACCTGATTAACACATCAAATCACATCTATTACTTTTATTGACCTCTTAATGCTATATTACACATTTGTGGACTTATATGAGGCATAATCTATATAACATATATACACATAAACTTGTTTCACCTTTAACCATCTGACTCTTACATATGGGGCTTTGCCTCATCATGTAGTTGGGAATCACAATCTACTCAACGCTTTTAAATGGGGCTCAGCCTCACCATTAGTATCAAGTTTTTACATATACATATAATTTCACATCAACAAACACACACACACACACACACGTAAGTGAAACAAGTTACAAAGCAACATATACTTGCTTGAATCGCATCTAGGCCTACCTATATACCTATTACTAGGGCAATCTTGGTGAGATACAACATCATATATATATATATACAAGAAAACTTTCAATCACAATTCATATACACATTTATATTCACATATACTCATGCATTCTAGTTGACAACTCAAATTGTAAATACAATTTTATACATTCATTTATACTAATGGTAGTTATACTACTACCAATCAAGGCTACACTTTTCTCGCTTCCTTTCCTAAACTTCTCATACTCTTTTCACCTATGTATAAAAGTAACAGAGTGAGACATATGTCCTAGTAACTCAGATATAACCCAAATAATAGTTAGTAAGCAAAATCATAAACAAAAGATAAAGCAACATTATTTCAATAAAAATAGTATAATACATATATACAAGAATTCATCCATATCCATTCCTCATGCTTATGCTCATGTATTTGTGGTTTTATCTAGTAGAGCAATCTCTACACTCAGACTATGACTTCTAGTCTTCTATAAAACTGGGCTTGTCATACCACTGTTCAGACCAGGTATCCTCTTTGCATATGTGTGGTCTCTTAGGTCCATCGTGGTAGAGTTAAACTCTACATTTAAGACCTTTAGGACTTCTTAGACTTACATAGAGTAGGACCACGACCCTCTACCCTAGTTTAGGATACACTTATGGATCATTATCCTAGGTTCATTATCGTGGAGTTATGCTCTACGCTCAACACTTTCAAGACTTCTTAGATTTGCATAGAGTAGGATTGTGACCCCCTACCCCAGTCTAGGATACTCTCGTGGATGTGATACGCATGTCTATGCATATGTCTTATCTCATCTATCTTACACATTACTCACACACCGGTATACATATATTTTCACATTTCTACTACTCTATCAGTTCATAAATTACAATGTATATAGTTATATAACATACTTATAAATAATTTCAAAAATGAACAAGTAAAAGGGTTGCTCTAGTTACCTTTTATCCTTACTACTAAAGGTTGCCAATCATAGAGGACTTCTAAGGTGCATATTCTCATGATCAACTTCTCAAATGCTCAATACACAATACAATATCCTCAGGTCAATTCTTAACACTTAGTATAGGCATTGAT